ATCCTAAAACTAAGGATAAAGCCTAAAACTATAACATTTCTAAAAGAAATCATAGGAGAAGATATTTGTGACCTTAAAGCTGAAGAATCTACTAAATACTGAACTTGTATACCACCATTTAAAATTTTTATTTTCATTTAAAAAAATGTTTATTGTTTTGAGAGAGGGAGAGCATGAGCAAAGGAGGGACAGAGAAACAGAGAGAGAGAGAGAGAGAGAATCCTAACCAGGTTCCACAGTTAGCACAGAGCTCCATCCATGCAGGATTGAACCCACAAAATGTGAGATCATGACCTGAGCCAAAACCAAGAGCCCAACTGACTGAGCCACCCAGGTGCCCCTTTATACCACCTTTTGTATGGCAAAGGTGATTGGTTTTATCTGTTTTATCATGCCATTATGTGATTCTAAATCTTCTTAGCATTCACTGTCACTTACTTGGTGAGGACAATAACTTTATCTTCAATACTGAGTTGAGCTCACACTCCCAAGTAAAGGTGTTACCATTTCTTCAGTTTGTTAGGCCAACCATTTGTGATAATGATGTGATTATGGATCAGAGATTTGAGTCTAGGAAGTGGGGTTTTGGCTCAAGGTATGCATGTGCTCAAGGTAATTCTTTAGAACCTGTGTGCTGGTTGGATCCTATTAACAGCTACTATAACAAATGGGGATGAATGAATGGATAGATGAAAGGAAGACTGGAGAGGATGGTGGTCCATATACGTACATATACCCTGCCACTGGATTTAGTAGAAAAGTCCTAAACATGTGTGGTTTCCAGTTTCAACTGACACCACTAGTTACTATGTTGCCTTGGACTGGTCAGATAACTTCCCTTGAACCTGGTTGCTTATTTGTGTAAGTGAGATAATATTGCTTACTTTTTCTAACAGAGCTTCTGTGAGCATAAAATGATCCAACGTAGAATAAGACAAAGCTTTTTTAATTGTAAAGGAATAGGGGTGGGGAGGGGGAGAATCAGTCCACTGTTGCCCCCACGGTACGATAATGCACACCTCTAAAATTACAGAATTTTAGTGAGAATCTAGGAGGAAATACATTTATATATGCTTTGTAAATTGAATAAGAACCTTCACCTCCTAGGTAAGATTAATTTTGATAATACCTCTAGAGCCCATGATAAAGGGCTCAACAAACGTCAGCTACTATTTCTACTATTAAGGTGGGGTTTTTTTGTTCGTTTAACAGGAGAATGAAACTTGAAAAGTTTCAGTGACTGACATCAGTACCTCACAGCTAGTAAGTGGTGGATAGTAGTCTCCAAAGTCCAAGTCCAGTCTGACTCCAAAATGGAGCCCGTACTCTAATCATTAGGTTACAAGGAAGTCCCTTTAACTTTAAAATTGTTTTCCACTTAGCTCCGGAATGGGATATGTTCTACAGGATAAAACACAAAGATGGGGATGAAATCATTGGAAATGAAGGTTTTTATACATTCGGTGGTTCATCCTTTAATACAGACGGCATGGACCCTTTAACTGATTTAGTGTTTCAGGGAGATTAAACACAAACCAAGCAAGCCCTTCCCGGCCCTAAAAGTCCTCCCCAGGAACACGTAGGAGCTCGCGCAGCCCAGCCAAAGCCAGCAGCCACCAGCAGCATGCGTGCGCGCAGTGCCCGGGGTGGGCCCTGCGGGAGTGGGCGGAGCCCAAAGGGCGGGAGGTTTGAATCCCGGGGAGGCTCAACCGCGCTGCTACAGGGCTGTTCACCAACGCTGGTCTTCCCCGCTCCCTCCCAGGTTCGCCCGATCCCGCCCGGAGAAGTCCGCTCCGGGATTTGCGGGCGGCAAAACGCGAGTGGGACGGCCCGGCAAGGCTCCCCGCGCCCTCACCCCGCCTTGGTAGTCAGAGGTTTAGGGTACATCCCTAGCCGGGATCTGCGGTCCGGGGTCCCACATCCTCTCGCTGGGTCGATGTGCGGGGTCCCCATAGACGGGTGAGACCAGGCTCCCCTTGCCCCACAAAGGATCTGGGACCCTGGGTCCCCATAGCCCCCCGCGGGGTCTGAAACCTGGCTCCCCCGCCTCCCACAAGATCTGAG